GAGTCAGGGTGTGTATAGTTTTGATGTTGCCTAACATGAGCAGGGTGGAGACTGTTCTAAGGAGTTTACATGCTCAGTTAAAATTACTCGATAGTCCTTATTTTAACAAGCACATTTATTTTGGTTTGTATAGGACATTTTGTTTTCTGTACTTAAAGGACAATTTCTGTAATTAAAGAACAAAGAAATAAATACGAGTGCAAAATTTGCAGTTCCAAATTTTTTCTTTGGTATAGATTTTTAAAGGCAGATTTGAGTTTACAAAATATTTTAATGTAAGTTATTTACAAGTTCAAGTACATATAAAACAACTATTATCACCAAAATCAACTCAATATCAATACATAATCTTTCTTGGAGAATATTTTATTTTATCAAGTAAATCATCTCATCTAATTTTTACTTATTACTTTCTATTTTCTGGTGGAACTCTCTGCCAGAAAACACCCGTGCCCTGCAGGAATTACTACCTTTTCACAGGGCACGTAAGGCAGAGATTTTTCGCCAGGCATTTGGTCGAATATAGCAATGGGACAGGATGACATCTGGCACTCTCATATACTCTCCCCATCCCTCACACCTCCCCCCCCCCGAAGGCTGTGGAGCTGAATTTTCCCCGCCTTCTTGGACTGCATATTGTTCTATTTACTGATCTGTTTCTGGGTAGATTTAATGTTGGATTTAATTTAAATCATTTAATGTATTCTATTCTGTAGTAAGCTGCCTTGAGCCCTACTTGTGGTTAAGGGCTGCCTAGTAAATCTAATATAATAAATAATTAATAAATAAATTTAGTTTTACACAAATCCTTTATCTCATTGCCTTATCTCTATCCATGGAAACAATATTGCTCCTTTATTCTTTCCCGACAGCAGGTTACAAAATGCTTGCTGATAATTGTAAAATTTATGGTGTCATGTTTTCATACACTATGTACCATGCTTTTTAAGGAAGATATACTTAAGGCTGCAATGAGCACTGACCTCAGTGAGACTTACTACTACAAGGAGGGGTCATTTAATAGAAAAAGAGATGCAGGAGCTCATTAGCATAACTTATTTGCATATGCCACACACCCTGACAAAGGGCAGGCATGTTTAAAATGGCTTTCTTTCCCTCCCCAATCCGGGGAGGGAAAGAAAGGCATTGAAACATCCCCTTCCCCACTTTCCCTCCACTCTCCGAGTTTCTCTGCAGTAGTGGAGAAGCTCAGATAGGGAAAGGAGGAGGAGGAGGCATGCTTCCATGCCTGCCCTTCTCTTCCCCAGCCAGCCTGTCGTGGCTGGAGAAGCAAAGGGCAGGCATGTTTAAAATCTGGGGAAGGGAAAGAAAGGCATTTAAATCCCCCTCACACTTCCCCGAGTTTCTCCACAAAAGCGGAGAGGCTCAGGGAAAAAAGGGGGCACGTCTGCCTGCCTGCCTGCCTGCCTGCCCTTCCCTTCCGTTCTCCAGCGAACCTGCTGCGGTGAGCTGGCTGGGGAAGCAAAGGGAAGGCATGCAGGCAGGCAGGCAGGCATGCCTGGGTTCCCTACTCCTGGGCTTGTTGCTCCTGGAACGTCGTTCCTGCTCATTCCCCCTCGAAATGACCCCTGACTACAAGTAAAAAAAAAATGCATGTGATCAGGCTGTATGATTCCTTAAGAGCAATGTAGTTCAGGTTGTGTTGAATTCCCATATTGTTATTTTGTCCCATTTATACTGAGTGCTAGCAAAAATGCCTCCTAAGCACCCAGAACTCTTGATGTCTAAGCAGAAATGCTTTTTTGGCCAACGCATTTGAAGTTAGAGTATTTCTCTAGTGGCCAAAATCTGTCAAACATGTTCAACATAAGTGTGTGTGTGTGTGTGCGTGTGTGTGTGTGAAGTTAAAGGCAGAGCAAGTTTTGCTAGAACATATGTGATCTACTATCATAAAAATGTATTAAATGGCTGCATGGTACTTCCCCCTGGATCTAGTATTTGTGTTGTTACAGCTACTGCCAAAGCATTAAAAAAAAATTTATTTGACTTCTAAAAACACATGGTAGTAAGGTATCGCTTTTGGGAGATTTTTATTGTCACTCTGAGTCTTCTTGAAAGTGGGTATGGGAGCTGAGCTCAGATTTCATTTTGAAATACAGAATTTCCATGAGAATCTCGCTTTACCAGAGAACACCAGAGAACATCTCCACATTTCACTTCTCTTAGTATTAAGAATGATTGATCTAGGAACTGTATTTACAACACACTAAATTGCTCCCAAATCCAATACCTCCCAGTCTCCATTAGAAATTACCCCTTGACCCAGGGTTACTCTTATTATCACTTTTGCCACATTGGAGGAGCAGCTAACAGCATTGCCCAAACCCAGCACATTTCAAGAAGCTAAAGGACCATTCCCCCGCCCCCCAGGCTCCCAAGCCATCTGCTTCCTTAGCAACCAGGTACCCAAACAAACACTGCTAGACAAAGCCTATCCCTGTCTAGGCCTAAAGCAGCCTGGCCAGGCACACTGGGAGTGGCATGCGTCAGCAGCTACAGTCAAATTCTGGTTGCACAATGACAGAGCCTGCCGCTCCTTGACCCAGGTGGAGCTGATTCACCAACATCCCCTCCAGGACAATGCTGTTCACAGACATCACTGATACCCTGCTTGTCCTACTAAAAAGCCCTCTGGGTTATTTTTATTCCAACCTGGTCAAAATCTCTGCCTCTTAACCTTTAAAAACAAACTTCGTCCTCAAGGACAGACCAGTGGGGCAATAGTTACATTTGCATCTGTGAACCACTGAGGGTAGCTGTGGACTCATTTGCATATATTCCGTTTCAAGAAGGCTGAATCCGCTCTGTAAAAGATACACGTTTGGCAAGAGGGAATTAACAGCTGATTTGAACTGCATTGGTAGTAGCAAAATCCAGCTGCCCTTGACCAACTGAAATTTTATTGACTTTAGATTGGCTCTTTGGGCTGTTTCCCTGGGATTTATTACCTGCAGCATTATTTGACAAATGTTAAGGACATAAGGCATGACTCATTGCATTCAAGGGCAGGGCCGGTGCCAGGCTTTCTTGCACCCTAGGCAAGGCTAGCTACTTGCGCCCCCCCCCATGGATTGCAAAGGGGCAGGGGCAGCCGGTTAATGCTGTGACCTATGAGCAGGCCAGGCTAGCACGAACCCACCAGATCTCGGAAACTAAGCAGGGCCGGGCCTGCTTAGTCCTTGGATGGGAGTCCAGGAAGGAAGTCCAGGCTCACTCTGCAGAACCAGGCAATGGTGCCCCCCCACCACTCATCTGTTGCCCTAACCCGAATAGCCCAGGCTCGCCAGATCTTGGCTGCTAGTTGAGTTAGCCCTGTTGAGTCTTCGGGTGGGATACCACCAAGGGAGCCCAGGGTTGCTACGTGCAGGCAGCCAATGGCCAACCACCTCTCTGTTCGCCTCTCGTCTTGAAAACCTCCATCAGGGGTCGCAATCCGTCAGCTGCGACTTGACGGCGTTCCCCCCCCCCCGCCTCCAGGCGTACTTGCCGCAGAAAACATACGGTCCCACTGCACCTTCAAGCCCAGAACTGTGTTCCCGGTGACGCCAGCTCTCCTGATTGCTCAGCATTTATTGCAAGACGTGCTTTTGGGTTCTGAAGAACAACAGCAACACTGACTGCAATGAATCTATGGCAAGAAGGTCGCACTGTTGCAAGCAATGCGGCTCACCTTTCAACTGCAGCTGGACTTTTGCACGGGGCACACCTCTTCCTGCTCCTGGGCCCCAGAGACCCCAGCCAGCCCCCCCACCCATGCCCCTCTCGGCCCGGCCTCTTCTCCTCCGCCCCGCAGGGACAGGTGGAGCCAGCCCCCCCCCCCGCGGGCCCCCCGGTCCTGGGCGCAGGCTGACCTGCCTGCCTGCCTTTGTGCTCTGCATCTCTTCTTGGCCCGGCTGCCAGCGCTGGCCAAGGAGGGGGAAGAAGGGAGTGAAGGAGAAGGAGAGGGAAACTTCCTCCTCCTCCTCCCTCCTCCGCTGCTCCCACGGGGCCTGCCCTACCTGCGCAGCAGCAGCAGCCTCCTCTTCCCTGTGTCGAGGGGCAGGCAAGCAGCTCTCAAAAGGCAGCTGGCTTCCACACCTGGCCTGCGCGCCTCCACACCTCCTCCTCCCGCTGTGCTGGGGACTGGCAGGTGGGGGGCCAAGGTGACAGCGGCGGCACTGGAAATGGTGAACAAACTTTCTATCTGGCTTCGTTCCCCCTCTCTGCACGAGTGGAGGAGCAGGGTTTTTGGCAAGGGAGGGGAGGGGGAGGGGTGCTCTCCTAAGCTGGTGCCCTAGGCGATTGCCTAACCACACCTTATGGAAGCTCCGGCCCTGTTCAAGGGTTATAAACTATATTTGGGTTACTTAGAATTATAATCAAAATTATAAAGTAAGTTATCTAGCTGAGGTTGTATTTCCATTTAAATCAGAACGTTATTGTATAAACTGCCCCAAACTGCCCACTACCAACTGATTTGACCCTAATTAGGGTTGGGGAATTCCTGGACATTTTAGGGGTGGAACCTAGGGAGGGCCGGATTAAGGGAGAAGAGGGACCTCAGCAAGGTATGATGGCATAGAGTCCACCCTCCAAAGCAACCATTCCCCCCAGGGAAACTGATCTCTGTAGTCTGGAGATCAGTTGTAATTATCTCCAGATCCCAACTGGAGATTGGCAACTCTGTTTGGCTGGTGCTCAAAAAATATTACAAAACTGTAATATTTAGAAGTCTGGTTCAAGTTTTAGTATAGTTCAGGATACCAGAATCTAGAGCAGTTCCAGACCAGGTTTTACTTAAAAACCCATTAGCATATCAATCAATGCTTTAGAATGAGCAAGCCTAGTCATTTTATCCCCTGCTGGTGAGAGAAACAACAAAATCTGTGGTGGAATTTTTCAAATATTAAAAGTGCATCAGGTGACAGGTACCACATCCAAATGCTAAGAAGCCTCTGTCTATGCTAGACAATTTGATGACAGCCTACAGCTCTGGGACAGGCCTCATTTTCTATTCCAGCGCCGGCACTATTTATCTATTTAGAAAATGTGCACCTTCAATGCAAGAGCACCTTCAGGGTCTTCCATCCACTGCCGAGATTTCAAATCATGAGCACGGATCCCATTAACCCCTGGTCTTTGGGGACAAACATGTTGGTACTGGGGAAATGAACAGCATGCAAAGCAGTCTCATACCAGGTCAAGTTCACTGGTCCTTTTGATGGGAAGTAGATGTCTTTTGTGCCTCAGATCTTTCTTCTGGACTCCTGTAGGACGGATGAGGGAGTGTCACATGAGAGCACTTTTAGCCAACCCAAACTTTGATGGAAATTAGGCCTCTTCTCTCGCACACCAGGAACTCTTTATGCCAACTGGACTCAGTCTGCAAGCAGGATGTAACTGAGGCAGCCAATTGACAGCAGCCAGTTCCTGGCTCAGAATCATAATGTTCTTTGCGCTGGGCATTGAAGCACTGTTCTATGAATCCCAGAGTCACTTCTGCTGTGGGTCAAGGTGGCGATGATGTTCCCGGGGCAATGTGCCACGCCGCCGACGGCACAGGCAGGATCGTGTTCCATGCCCCTTCCATAAGGCATGCATCTTCCAGGCCTCAGCCAAACTCTCTATCTAGACAGGGACAGAAACAGATATATCACACCCACACTTGGGAACCAAGCCCTAGCAAGCACATCGTAGTTTCTAAATACGTATACCACAGAAGATTTAGGGAGGTTCAAGGACAGGCAGAAGAAAATGAAGAGGACCTTTCCTCTTTCTCCACTGGGGCTCTGAAGTCAACTCCTACTGAACTGACAGGAATTCCTCTAAGGGGCTTCTCTTCATTTTATCTTCACAACAACCCAGTGATGTAGAAAGTGACTGACCCAAGGTCACTTAATAAGCTTCATGGCTGAGTGGAGATTTGAATCTGGATCTCCCTGGTCTAAATCTAACACTCTCACCACTAATCATACTAACTTACCTTAACGTTCCTATACTGAACCTAGTATAAAATGGACAGTGCAGAGTAGGAATATGCAATAAGCAATTAAGCTGTAGGTGTGCAGAGTGATCTCAGCTTGACTATGGGTTGTTGTGCTATAGAGTAAATGGGGGAATCTGTCATGATTTGGGAATTGGTTGCTGGCACTAGCCAACCTTTGGCCATCTGAGCGATTTCCAGGCAGTTTGAGTTCCAAGAGTGTTGCCTCATAATAAATTCAGATAGGTAGCTGTGTTGTTGTGAAGTAATATAACAAAGTTTGAGTCCAGCGGTACATTTAAGAGCAACAAACTTTAATTTGGGGTATAAGCTTTAGTGTGTATGCACACTTCTCTCTTTTTTTTTTGGCCCTCCGAAGGGGATTTTTTTTTAATTTTGTATTTTCTACACACTACACACTACAAATATGGGATGTGGTAAGGAATACTAATGCCCGATCACTATTACTATGGGAAATAGGTCAGGGAAATCTAGATACATAAATTCTACTGGATAGGGGAAGGAAAACTACCACTCTGTTCTAAATCTCCTACTGGATATGGGGGATAGGGTGAAAAATAATACAAATCACGATCTGAAAAGCTAAGAGAATAGATCTTTTTAACCTATTAATACAGGTTATACAGAGATTAGTTTGATTATACAAATATAAAATTATTAGCTAGGCACAATTACTGCCCTTAGCACTCATGCTTTAGTTTTAGAGACTTTTCTTCTTAGATTTCTTTGTTTTCTGCAATTTGGGAGCAGCTACTCCTTTCTCCGATTCAGATGATTCTGATGACGAGGAAATTTGGCTTGATGAATCCTGTGAGTAGGACTCCTCCTCCTCCTCTTCTTCCACAT